GAAACTCGACGACCCGCTAACTGTACTCGCGACCTAGGCAAAATAGCGGTGCCTGGCACAAAACGCTCGCAAATACGCGCAGATTATGATCTGCTAATTAATATACTCTGTGGGACCGACGTGGCTTTATGACGGACATTAAAATCGCTTAAGCCCCGGCCACAATGGCCGCGTGATTTGTTACGAAAGTTCCTAACGTTAAAACGGCGCCTTGTAACTGGCGCGGTGGATGCCTCGGCTTTTACTGCTTCACAATTATCGATTTTATATCTAGCAATTGTTCCTAAGTAGTGAATAGCTTGATCATGAAGCTTCCACAACATATCGTTTACTAATTATACAACATTCCTATCGGTTTTACAGTGTCCGATGTATAAAAACACTAACAAAAATTGTCTATTAATTTCAATATTAATTGTTTAGGTTAGTACAAGTCTGTGTGAAGTGAAAGCGTTAACTAAAAGTTTTAGTCATATTAAATGAAACTACTTTAATTCATTTAATATGTATAATATTTCAGCTTCATTTAATATGTATAATATTCGCGTAAAATCAAGAAAACAATATGTAAAAGCTTTAGTCATCAAAAAACATACTGAACACAATCAGAAACCAGTAGAAGGACATTAGTTACATACATTAAATACAAGTTTCCTAAAATACGTATTACGTATTGTGTGTAATACTCTACAGTTACGAAATAAAGACATTTGTAATAAAAAGCGAAACGGCTTTCCCCGACGCGTCGCGATTACCACAAGATGTTCAGAAATTCGCTCATTTGACACGCGCGGTTATGACAAGGGTTCCCGCCGTTTCCAATCGGCGGAATTTCAATTTTCGCCATGTTTGTTGGGTGCGTGTTTTTTTTTATAGACACGTGGCGAACGCGGCGCGGAATTCGGTACGCATCTGTGATCTGTTTATTGCTATTTTCCAACTCTCGTCCCTTTCTATGTTCAATATTCGTCAATATTGTTTATGGTCGTGTTCGTTTTGCATTTCGGAGTGACGTCACTTGTGGCTACCAATAATCTGAGTTTATGTGTCCTACACACAATTTATTCGAAAAATTCTTTCTTGGATATATGAATACATTGCTTTTGGTAAAAGTGAATGATAAAAATCGATGAGCTATTGCAATTTGTTAGCATAAAAACTAATAAACTACAGTGACACAGTAGTGCATATTATTACAAAATATATTATAATGAATTGTGTAAGTGATAAAAAAAATTCGTCTAAATTTATGGTGCAATAGACTAGCAACTTTTTCGTTATTCCAATGATTATAGGCGGCTACGGTAGATTGTTTGCCACTTCCAAATAATAAAAAGTCTTCGATACATCTGTCCACGACTTTTACAAATATCAAACGAGAGTCGTTATAAATTTTCGAAGCAAATCGTTCGATGCGTGCGTCCGATGTTTCAATCATTCGAAATTCGAATAACCACAGAGTCATACCGCGGCCATCCATCTTGACCGTGCGCGTTGGACAGCATATTTTATGCCGCGTTAGACACACTCCTCTCCCGCATAAGGCAACCCGGCAATCTTTCCCTTTCACGAGTCAATGGACATTAACCAACTCGACAATACCGCCACTCTATGAAACCGCCCCAAAAGAATTCGCAAGTAATCCAGTCACAATACGAAATTGATTTTCTTAATTTTAATTTTGGACGATTTAACAATACAGCAAATTAAGACACGTGGAGTTGGGGAAATGATTTGCATTTCTTAACACACATAGATATCACGTTCCTTCTTTGTTGTCAGCTAAAATTTACGCGCTACGGTCCGTTCTAAGATCTCTGTAACAGCTGCGATAGCTTGCGGTATAAAATAAATTCCTAGTTGCTACTAGAGGTTTGGCATGCGAAAATTTCTATTTTGTAAATCATCGTGGACTTGAGGTAAGCCTAGAGCCATAAGATAGAGTCGAGTTAAGTATCCAAAAACCCGATCTCTCACTACGTTGTTGAACCAGTTTGACCCAAATTAAAATAAAATTTGACGAGTACAGTACTAAATAAATGGTGATATTCGTTCACTAAAAGGTAATAAAAAATAATATTAAATATGTAATAAAAAAAAAAAACGAATACAGGAACACTGGAGCATTCTAATATAATTAAGAAGAAATCATACATTTCATTATACGCGCACACTGACACGGATACTGACATGATGATCTTGGTTGGTTGGAACAAGTTTCATCAACTCCACGGAGACCAATAACAACTTGTTGACATTTACCTATAATTCCAAATTATTTAATCGAACCGTTATTGGAACGAAGTTCCTTACGGCAGGCTTGGAGGGGATAGGGATTTTGCTGCGCGGCTGAACTGAAAAAAAAATGTGATAGTAAAACCGTAAGAAAAAGTGCATGGAATAAAGGCCCATTTACACGGTGCCAGTTTCTTGCCTGTTGTATACAATTAAATTGAAGCAATAAATAAGTTGCATGGTCTAAACAACAAATGGTCTAACCAATTATTGCGCGCAATTTATTGCATTCAATTATTGCTCTTGCATGTACAAGAAAATGGCATCGTGTAAATGGGCCTTAAAACCGTTAAATGAGACGTGCGCAGGCGCGACAGTCGCATAATTTTATGTTGTCAAACAAAAATAAAGAGACATATTTTGTTACTTTAGTTGATAATTTGAATTACGATGTTTTTTTATTTTAAGTAATTTATTGTTTCCTAAAATACTGAACTTCCTAAATACTTTCTTGTACTTAAATAAAAACGAATCAGCAAAATTTAAGAGAAAAATCAAGAAAACCTACATAAAATTGAGCACGATTTTTTTTGCAATTTGTGTCGATTCTACATTAGCCGAAGGAACTTCGTTCCTACCTGGTGTCCCACGACACCACATCATTAAATTTTTAATTGCATTTAGTCTCTTATTCACAAGCAAAGAGTACTGGCACAGGGGATAAATTTTTTAGTTGTTTTTCTTTTGTCACGCTAAAGAAGTAAAACTTCTTCCGTGCGTATATAAAATACTTTTTTAATGTATTCTACTCTTCTTCTAGTGTGTAAACGCGGGAATACAAGAGGATTAGTTCGCTTTAAGCAATACCGTCTTTAACATAAAGGCACAAGGGGCCCGTGCCCAGGGCCTAGGTATTCGCATAAACTATTTTTTTTTTCTCTATTTTTAGTTGATATATTCCGACAGAAGTTTATAGAATAAAAATAAAATATAAGATAATAGCAGAAAAATGTTTTGATCATTCAATTGTTTTACTTTCCATCAAAGTCCCTTTTGTGTGTCAAAAGTACTTTTACACACAAAAGGGACTTTGTGTGTAAAAGTACTTTTGACCCGTTTTTTTTACCCGTCAAAGTACTTTTGTGTGTCCTAGGGCCCCGATGTGACCTAAGACGGTATTGTCTATAAGTTAACAGGAATATTGCTGAGTAAAGGAATAGCATATTATGAAATAATTAAAACATTATAAATTTTATATAGTATGTAGGACCACGTTGTCTTAGAAAATGTTCAACATCTCCGTTACTAGGGAAGGGCGACACGAAATAAAATACACCGTGTAATACATTGATACAGTGTATGCATTATGCAAGCGTTTGGCGCAAGTATTAAGAGCGAGCGATTGATGGGCAAAATATTTTTCATAAGTGAAGTCAAAAATAAGTATATTAATTATTATTATGAATGTTAGATGGATAATAATCGATGAGTTTCAACTTTAAACATAATATTCTAACAAAAATATTTGGAAGTTATTATTTAGATCACGTGCTTTAATAGATAGATATATAAATCAAAAGTTAAATCTTGTATACAATCGTAAAAACAAGATGAAAAAAGTACAAAACATTTTTTTTATATTTCCAAAACGTATTGTCTCTACCTGCCTCACGAAATTATTTGTCTTTATTGGAAAGCGAAGAAACGAAAACGAACTGTATGCGAGAAATCATGTTTTCGTTTTCATTCAAAAGGGCTTAACCTTTCTTGGAAATAGCTCCCATATAAAGAGCGCAGTTTTATAGTATCAAATTCAAATATCCTTATTCAACTTCGGAGCATTACAGTCACTCATTACTTACTACTACTGTATAATAATAATACTCCTACTATATCCTTGTACCTTATGAGTAGGACGCAAGTATTTGTGTGTTTTATTAGACATTGTTGACTGAGGGCCGTCGAAGCTTTGAAACTCCAAGGTAATAAAAAATATAGACCTATCTCTGAATTACTTATTGGGTTTCGACGGTTTTTAATAATATGACGGATATCTAACGCAGGTATTATTAATAAATATTGTCACTATAAGCCTTGAACATTTCTGAAACCCATCCCATTCATGATATCTAAGTTCACACCAAATTATCGAATGATCGCGATACGTTGGTTACACCTTACGTTTATTTACTCAAGCACACCTTTAGTTAGACTTTAAGATAAGCTTAAAGGAGGCTTTAAATTATCTTTGCAAATATGAAACCTATACAAAGTCCGAAAAAGTCCCCACTTGAATATTTCAAGTGGGGACTTTAATTTCGTATCGACTTTATTGCTGTTTGTTTTAGTTTGCGATACGAAAGTGCTCATGAATTACAGAAATATAATTTTCACATGCTCTATATTATATGGAATGTAAAAGTGATTTAAAAATAATGAAATGAATCTTATGTAAAGCTTTTATCCGTTATTCACGTGTGCCGTAGAGTAATTAACATAATTATGAATACACTAACTAATATACATGTAAATGTGTAATAGTGTTGATTTTATTGTGTATGTTGGTTGTGTGTGATCTACTCAACGAATGGACAGTTTTATATGTAAATATGTATGCATTAATTTTTCACTTTTTAAATAATATTACGATATTATTGCGGCTCTTTAGACTTGGGCCGCGGTAAAAGACGTAGGAACGCGAGACCGCGGTCCCGGGCGTCCGACACTTTTTCAAAATCGTGACTCGCCCCGGAGTCTCGGCGTCACGAACTCTGTACCGTTACGTACGGACGGGCGGGCGTGCGTCCCGCTCTCTCCTGCGCGCCGTGCCGCGGTGCGAAAGGGACGCGCGAGCTTTCGCGAGGCAGATTCTCGCGCACTGAAGGATAATCCCGCGGCTCATCGCTTTTTGCTCTCAGCGCGATTCCGTTCCTAGGTTTCGGTGTAAACTCAGATTCGTACATATTGCGAGAATTTAAAAATAGAACATGTTAATAAAAACTGTGGTAAGTATTTAAAACGTCGTCAATTTAAAAGTGGACTTGGCAAAATGGACTTGAGCCTTGAAGTCGATGCATAAAATCACATTAAAAAAAGTGTAAGTAAAGATGAGAAACTTACGTCATAAAAAATGCTGATGCAATAAGTCTATAATTCTAGAATTTATTAATAAAACGCCTATAACTTATCAGAGTCAATGTAATTATAATAAAAAATGTTGTTAAATATTTATCCTGCTAATTTAATTTTAACAATGCGTAACACTCGTAAATAAAGGCAACGGCCTTATTTGGCGGGAAGCGTATATAATATGACAGTGATACTAATTTTACAAGAAGGAAGGATAGCTAGTTTATATGATGGCCTTATAACACGCAACTAACCTCGGTAGCAAATAAAAAGTATTTTACTGAATATGTAATGTCTCTTTCACATCTAGTAATATTATGGACTTACGTAGAATCGAGGATTTGGCTTTGTCGTTTTTTAAAGTACCTACTTAATAGCTATTCTTGTATTGTTAAACGTTACCTATAGATTATATCTAGTTTATTTTTACTTTAAAATTTCAAACACTTACAGTATACATCGAGGCAATTTTTGGATAGGTAAAGATACAACGGAGTGTTTAGTTACCGAATGGTTCTAAAATCCCTGCGGCATGGACATGAGTCAGCATAATTCACGGATGGGTTCGATGTTTTACACGTCCGACGCACAATGGCTGTCCAACGAACCAGCTGTATTGACGCTCTTAGCATTGTGAGAGAACGGCCTTTAGATATCTGTAGGCTGTTCGAAGTCACATGTGGACGTAGATACGTCGATAGAGAGGAAAACTTGATTATAGTTTATGAATTATTTATTGGCTGAACTTCAGCAAAAAAATAATAGGTTCACATAATTCAGAAGCTTTTGAAAGCTTTCTGTCGTTTGCTGGGTGTTCAAAATTATCGATAATTAAATAATAATTGATTATTAGACCATTTTACAAGATTTTATGTAAATGTTCTATTGAATATCGAAACTCAAGGAATTAGATAGCACTTATTACTTTTATTGACAATATGTAACAAATGTTAACGGTTACAGCTTGAGAGATTGTTAAAGGAGAATAATAACTCAATTTACGGGGTGACATTAATGCTTATATTATGAAAGCTACACAATGAAACAAATTATCTCGTTTGTTCTGAACGCGCCTGTATGGCGCGAAAGAAGGCGCATTTGTCTCTGCCCCACTTGACATTCCTCGCCGCGACAGATAATGAATATCTCGTAATAATTATAAAGTTTTCGAATTCATCCTGTCATTTTGTTCATTAATATATTATATTTTAAACTCAATTTGGTTATTTAATGTTTAAATCGATGAAATAGCTAAACTATATCAGTTAAAAAATAAACAAAATGTTTTTTATATGTTAGTTAAAGGTATTGAAAACAACACAGTCAAATTATTTGACTGAGTATGCAATTATAATAACAATTAAAATGTACATAACGTGGTGAGTTTTCGTGTTGTTTATTTCGCATTTAATTTATTACCTAATTACAAATTTTGACGCACTTTCAATCAAATTTGAAACGAATTATGTAAAAAGGGTGTGCAACGGACTACATTAAGGACGCAGGAAGTTTTATAGAACCGATTTATTTTCACCGTGGTAAAGTCGAATAGCTCTTAATAGTTATAGCTCAATGTCCGGACGCTCGGTTTTAATTTAACATACTATTCGAGCAAACTGAGTTCAAATCTCGGCAACAATGAAATTGTAATTGAAATTTTAATTGTTGGCTCATTACGTGTTCAACGATGAAAGATATATAGTGAGGAAACCTGCATATTTTCCAAATTATAATAAAGTAATAAAAATATTTCGAGATATGAGAAGACCGCAAATCCACGGTGTGGTCGCATGGTGGACTATGCCCTAATACTCTCTACACAACGAAAGGAGGCCTTTGTACAATATTGGGACATAATATAGACTACCTTGCAAGTATGGTACTTTATTAATTATTATTCAGTCGTACCTATATTAGTCCATTTTTCGTTGTCTAACCTAGGTTTCGTTCTTAATTAAATATATTTTATATGTTGCCTGACAAATCGATTTATGATGATTATACATACATCCGATAACGTTTAACTAAATAGATTTCTAGTGTAACAAAATGATACTTCGTACTGAACTCGAAAAGTATATATTACCTAAAGGCCGTTAAAGCGTTTGCAACTCACAAATCGCAGAAAGAAAGCGCCGGCCGTCGCAGTGATCGCAGATTCCCACATAATACTCGTCAGTTAACGATTATCGGTTGCAGCCGGAGAGGGTTTCCGACGAGTTTCACACATTGGCTATCGAGAGGCTTCGGCGCTCGGACTAATTTGAAACAATGAGAAACTGGTGTTTATTGACGCGACACCTCTTTACGGCACGTTTGGATGGGAGCGAGTCAGTTTCTAAGCCGCCTTAGCGTTCTGCGCGTCGGCTAGGCTGTGTTGTACGTTTATTAAGCCACTTAACGGTTGTGTATGATTCAATTTGCGCTCCGATCACTTCGTATTCTAATTTTAATAATTTGATATGAGGAAATGTGAATAGATTTATATATAGCACACATGTAAGGCGTCCTACGGTGGCATTTCTTTCCTGTACCCAAAGCTTTATAAGAGTCTTCTACAGTGCTTGAAAGTGACCGATAAAAGTAAATCATAGAAAATAGCGAGTAATCGGAAAACAAGCCTTAGGCTACTAGCCAATAATGTGAGGACAATGACGAATTCTCGGTTGATTTTCTTGAACAGGTTTAAATTTGCATACCCATGGTTGATTTTACCGCCCATAATAAGTACTTCAAACAAATGGAGACTGTACTAATATTTTGACTTTGAATGTAACACGTTTGTTTTGTCCTTTAATAGTAATTAGAGTAAATATCACAAGGCGGGTATTACAATTACTCCCTAGTTAAATAATATAGTTCGTCGTACACTAGTCAAGGTAATGGACCAATTATGAACTTCCTTCATGTAATTGCATCGCAAATGTTACTTGGACTTGTTACTTAGCATGTTTGGTTTAGAACGCTATCCTAATTTATTTTGACGCTAGGAAAATGGTGAAATATGGCGTTGATGCCGTGATGGACTAAGCTGTTAAGAGGCCCGGGGCGGCAAAACTGAATGAAGTCCCTAGTTTAAAAAGTTGACATAATTTTACAAGATTCTTATTCACTTCACATTTGTTTATAAATTAATCTTGAAATTTAAATTTAAATTCGACTTAAATTAGCAAGTTTATTTGTTTCAAAACAAATTCATTGATAAGTTATTGAGAGTTCAATAAAATGAAGGTAAGAAAACACAATATATAATATGCCACAATAGTTACATACTTACTGGTTACTTAGTAAGGTGTATTTAAATCAAGTCGATCTTTGTAATTGATAAAATATTTTATTACGATCTATATTATCTATAATGATAACATATCCTTTAGCAAAGGGCCGAGGATAGTAAGTTCGAATTGCAATAGGTACGTAAGTGGAACTGGTACTAAAACTGTAAAGAAATTAGAAAGATTAGTGGTAGTAGTTATATTATTTATAAATTGTAAATTACCGATTTCTGGTTTTATTTATTTATTCGTATTTTTTGAAAAACAAACCCAGCCTCGCCAAAGCCTTATTACAAGTATAGGCTGCAACTTTAATTTTATTTTTGCAAAAAATTTACAAAAATTTACAAAGACTAGATACTAACTTTTTATATAAAGCATAAATAAATAAATAAATAAATAAAAGACTAGATACTAACTTTATATTTTATAATTAGATGTTATATATTTATGTTTATCATTTCTATGCATTATCTACGAGTACGTGTGGTTTGACAACGATGACAGATATATAGAATAACTACCCTTACAAAAATGAATCCACGTTTCGTTGGAAACGAAATGTCCTAAAGTTAAAGTATTCAAAGATTATTAAACTAAACTGATTTTACAATGACCTAAGGACGAACAGTTGTTTTTTTATTTAATATTACACATGATAAAACCGTTGGAATTCCAATAATTTAATCTAATTTACTGATCGAGTAAACTCAAGTAATCCTTAATACGCGTCTCACCATATCTTCAAAACCCTAAATGAATCGTTACTGTTTATCATTTCATCTCTCTAATTCGTATGTTAGTACTAGATTTAAATTGGAGCGTCGCCTACATAGAGGTGGAGTTAAAAATGCAGAATATCCGAGCACTAACAGTTCAGAGCATTGTGCTCTGTCGGTAGATAGCCAACTCATAAAAGGAGTTACTAATACATTCACTAGTTCGACGCGGCCAGCGTCGCTCGACCTCCCACGCTTCGCCGATACCGCCGTGGTAAATGTCGAGAGCGGTTTCAAGATACGCTGGTCAGGTGTTCGCCCGGGGGTGCTATGAATATGCAATGCCAATAAATGTAGTTTTATCCGCGCTAGTAACTTTCCCCGGCGATGCCCCAACTCTAGCGACGCGAGGCGGTGCCGAATGTGTAGTGTGGATCGGTCATTGATTATTTATGAGCCCGCCCACGAATTCGGCGCATCGTGGTTCGAACAAAACTGTTGCGTCGTCGTTAGTATCGATAGATAGGCAATCTATTATACGCAGATTAATCTGTTAACATTCGCGAATGTTCATATACACGAGCATTTCGTTTATACTGAACACGTTGTCTAAAATAGCATCTGGATATCGCTTGCGGTGGCCGATATGATTAGGTACTGATCCCACGTTATTGTATAAGCAATCTATACCCTACTATAGTCTCTTTCGTTTGAAGATTTAGGCACTGGGACGCACTCAACATTCTAGAATGCTACGTAAAACCATATCTTAACAAGTGTGTATAGACAGCGTAATAAGAAAAATAAGAAATCGCGCCATATTTTCATCAATCGGGTTAGTAGTGATTGTTGAAGATGTCTTATTAATTCGACCAAGCTATGTAAATGTGTGAGAATCGTCAAAGACGAAAATATGTGATGTCTGATGATATACCATTTGTGAATGGTTTATGTATGTTCGTATGTATAGTAACACTACAAATAAAGGGGAAAAAGAAGATAAGAAAAATGAAACAATTTTTTTTTTTGATAAAGTTACTCGAGGTGTATTAAATAAGTTAATAAATTAGAGAGTTATATACAATATAAATGCTTAAATAGCGAACGACTAATATTTACACGGATTAATTGAATAAATTAACGCTTCGAAATCGCGAACTATCACAAAAACCGAACCTAGCGAGAATAATAAGTCGCCTACTCCCCGTGCCGTCAAAAGGCTTGGAGCACACCGGTAAATGACGTCCCGATTAGTGCGACCACCGCTCGGGAATCAGCTACGCTTAATACTTCCAACTGGTCATCTGTGAGGCTGGCTTCCTTCCCGGGTCGAGCCGGCCCACCCGTGCAACAGCGAAAGTCTGTCGCTATCACTTGTCGATATAGCGTATCGCTATAGCAACGGCCGTTACCGTATTAGCCTTCAAGCTATCAGTAGCTGTGTGGGCCGTGTGCCCCAAGCCCACGTGGCGTCTCGGGGAGCGTGAGTTATTATCCCCATACAGCGCAACGGTCAAACACGCGGGCCGATACCGAGAACCAGGCGTACGCCATCCGGCAAACCCAAACATCCAACACCCCGAAGTTGTTCAAGGACCCTCACTTTGAGCGTCAACCCCCCTGATCCTTCGGCTTCCCGCCGTCCCATATTTTGAAGGAGGAGCCCGGGTCGGGCATTCGCGGGCTGCTAGTGTAGTTGGGCGGCAGACGGGACGGCGTTGAGAGGAAGCTGCCGTAAGATAGGGAGGAGTTGACGCCCATGGACGTGTCTAGGGTGGAGTAGTACCCAGAGGAGGCGGCGGACGGCTGGGGCGCCTGCTGGACGCGCGTCGCCTCAGCGTACGCGTCCAGGTGCGTCCTAACCAGCGCCGCCAGCTCCCCGTAGCCGGTAACCGCGCCGCCGGCGCCGGCCACCCTGTAAAGCAGCAGCCGCGCCTCCCCGAACAGGCTGTCCAAAATTTTACCTGTCGTGAACAGGACGATCGCCTTCAGGCAGGAGTACTCCGCGGAGTCCACGTGGAGCGCTTTCAGCTTCTCCACTTGCTCCTGGAAGATGCGTATGTGGTCCATGAAGGCGACCACGCGGTCCGCCGCCATGGGCGACGCGTGGAGGCCGGCCGCGGCCAACAGGGGCGCCACGTGCAGGGGCATAGAGCACTGGGACGCGTTTAGGACGAACAGCTCCGACCAGACGAGCCGTAGCAGGGCCACCTGGTCAGTGACCTGGAGGTCGGGGAAGAAGGGGATGTTGCGGGCCCACTCGACGGCCGAGAAGAGCAGCCGCGCAGCGAGCTCGCAGATATTGTCTATGCCCATGACGTTGGTCGGCTGGACGCACTGTCCGTAGCGCGAGGTCGGGTAGGGCTCGGCTCTGAGCAATAGAGATATGTAGGAGGAGAGGTAGGGGTGGTTGTTGAGGCCAGCGGCCGGGTCGCCGTTGGAGAGGGCGAACTGGCCTGGCAACGTCAGGCCAGCGGGCTGAGTCGGTGGCACCCGACCTCTTTGCACAGCTGAAACAAAAGAAAAGAATCAGTTAGGTTGATTGTGGTTGATATTTGCCTAGATTTCAATATGCATTTGCCCCGCAGAATCGCATGCCCTACTTCTCTGGGCTCTAATCTAAATTTGTAGGCCGGCTACAGATTCATTCCTTCATAAGAACTTAAATTTTAACATTTAAATATGGAATAATTTAAGTATATCCGCGTGCCAATTAAAAAAAAACTCATCGTAAGAATGATGAAATCGTTCTGCAAGCGTTCGGTTTTGTTCCCGCAGATTGCAAATTGTTAAGTCGAATTGTTTTATTACAAATCTCATTAATAACTTTATAGGCAATTCTATAAGTAACATGCCTATAAAACGTTATGTATAATCGCTCGAGCCTGGCGAAATACGCATCGAAACACTCAAAAGCAGTAGTAAGCAATTAGCATGCGAGTGCGTCATTATGGCACGCGCGTAACAGAGCGGTTTATGGCCTCCTAACAACTGTCAGAGTTGTGGCGGGAAACGTAAATTAATATGGCCGCCTATTGTCGTGTCTTGGGGGAACTTTTGTGTTCGTAATCATTTTGTGCGTTCGGTACGGGCGCTAAGCCTGCGCGGGCAATCGTAGGCGTCAATTACGATCGCTATAAGAAACAGATATGTATAAACTTAAAAAACCTGTTCCGTCGTTCGCTTTGCTGTTGTGGATATTGGATATGCAATAATTCCGAGCGTGCGCGCTGACAGATTGTGATAACGAACGGCGTTTTGATTGGTCAGTGCCTTGATATGAATACTGTTTCGATAACACAACTCGGTATATGATTTAGAAGATATAAATACGAATCTACAACATTTTACAAAAGAGCAGAAAACATTATACGTCATTTTTTAATATTTTAATTTTAAGTTTTTTAATATTAAAATTTTAATAAATAATTTCTGAATCTTCATGTACCCTAAACGTTTAACATTAAGGTGTCATTTTGGTTTTGCCTCAGTGGGGTTGTGGTCAGATAATAACTAAAATTTAAAATTAGCTTTTTGTACATCTACGTGTACGGCTAGATGTGTATACGTGTAAACTACTATAACGTTAGTAGATTTTGTTTTGAAGTAATTATGAGTAGATAATATAAAAAAATATTACAACAATATTCTATTTATAACGGCCGTTCTAACATTTTATTTTTTAAACGAATGGGCAGAAATTTCGCCTGATGTTCCCGCCTCCCAGGGACATTAACGTAAAGGTTATAAGTTGCTTAGCCCAATTAGCAGGGTGGGTGACACCGTACCGAAGCTCGATGGCCCACAGATGACATATCCCGTTTATGGAGGGCTGTATCAAACTCGTGGGTTCTTACTAGCACACGGTATCTCTACGGACTCAAAGGAAAAACGTCAGTTAAAGTAAAGCAAGGGTGGATCGCTTAACACATCCACCAGACGAAACGCAGTAAATACTTCTACTTTTCGTGGTCATTTAAGTAAAGCAAGCGTCACTTAACACATCCACCAGACGAAACGCAGTAAATACTTCTACTTTTCGTGGTATTTTGTACGGCTGAACCGGCATGCAACAGCAGACGCTGCTGTGTGCCCCGGGCTTAAATCTACCGCCACAGCAGCGTACACGTGTTGCAACACTGCGTTTCGACGTGTACTTAACGCGCCTAGCAGCTGGTCTCGCTACGATCAACGGATACCCCGCACCACAAAGATGACGATCTCACGCGCCTTGTTGTTAATTAATTGTGGTAACTTACGAACGTATTAATTTTTATGTAAAATTTTTGACATTTCATAAGAACGCGCAAGCGTCTATGTGAATAAATATATTTTTGATTTTGATTTGATTCAAACGAAAACCACATGGAGTAAGAAGTGTAGGCTATGTTCTTCAGCATTATATTCACTGCTTACTATTAGAGTTCTACTATTGATAGACAAATATGTAAGTACGCGGTAAAGAATAACTCGTAAAGATTAGAACTATGTTGCTACAGTTAAGAAACATTACGCTTACTACCGGTTTCTGAAACACTGATCATCGTATAAGTTAACTAATCAGCTGTCAAATGGCTTTTCAAATGTCATTCTGATCATAGATAAGTAGATCTTTCTGATCAATTCTGAGTTTAACCATCCTTTTGTCAACTCAAATAACATTTGAAAAACCATTTGACAGCTGATTAGTTAACTTCTACGATGTTCACCGTTTCAGAAACCGGGCGTTAGTGTCGCGGCAGATTGCTTTATATTAAACGCCAACTGCCAACTCTCGATACGGCAATAGCGTAACTTTTGACGTTTAGTCCGTGTCGGAGTCAAATAGAACCGCGTCCCGTAATGGCGCAACTGACGCAGATTACGGTTGTCCCGCCGCGTTCCGTTGATGCAACGGTTGACGTCCGGAGCAAGTGTAATTTCTATTAATGCGATTTAAATTGGTGACCGGCCAGCTTTCGACCTCGGCCACCTTCGGAGAGGCGGCCGAAACTTCTGCCAGACGTATTGCGTCGTCCGCATCGCTATAATTGAATAAACAAGAGGCAGGGAGCACTTTCGGCTCTTGTGTACTAAGGGTGAAAGTGATGTCAAATTACTTAGTACGAACATGTTCAGAGACATCTTTATACGTGGAGATTACAGCATGACAGACAGCAAAGATTGAGATTTCAGAAACTGCTACGTGGTCGGTAGTACTAAGAGACGGCTTCTAAAAACCCATAACAAGACGTTAAATAGACTTTTTTTAGGTGAAAAGTTGTCGAGCAAGTAGGCTATTCACCTGAGGTTAAGTGAATATCGCCGCCCATCGCCAATCGTTGACACCTATAAAACAAAGAAGGCCCCGGCTACCTCACTCACCAGATGGGACGGACTATTGGAATAACACTTGCGTAACCTACTCAGGTTTATGCAAAAATGTATTAGCATGAAGATAAAAGAACAGTGTATTTTCGAAATCTCCGCAAAACTAAAATAAAGGAGCCTTTACGTTACTTTCACGGTATTTTGCATACAATACAAAGATAACTTCGAACTTACCAATGTTTAAAAAAATCTTATTGCAACAAGACATGATGCAACAAAATAATAAAAAAAAACCAGGAATTACATTAAGAGGCAGAAGGAATGACTTTTACTTCTGATCTGTTGCAAGGCGTTTACGCGGCGGATTCTAGTTCTCTACGGTCGGTTTTTTGTCTATGGTCGCTCTTTTTTCTGCTCTAAGCGCCGTGACATCGTGTCGTGCCGGGATCAAGTGTAGTCGCAATAAATCGATGTTCCACGTCACGACTGTCTCATCGAACAGGTGTAACTGATCGTTGCGACGGTAAAAAACCTTACCGAGCGCATTCCAGCAATTAACGGAGTCGTTATGTTAATGTTTTGTTACTATTATCTGTGCCTTAGAAGACGCTTACGGCTCGGGGTGCCCTGAGAGTACCACTACATTCATTTTATTTATTTGGCGTAGTCTCTGTTTAGCAGTATGTTCCATTTTGAAGTGGAACGAGGGTTTGTATGACCTGTAATAATAGTTCAGGTTTTTGTCCAATACCGATAATCGTCACTGGAAAGGCAAACTGACTTTAAGAAAAGGCCAAATAAATGTCGCCAAACGATATTGGCTAAACACCCTTGTACACTAAAATTTCTTCCTATGATAGGAATATTGTTATTTGACACGAAAAATGAATCATGATTGTGAGATTAGTACTATAAATTTAAAAAAAAATAGTAGCCTTTCCTCGCAAGATCATCCCTTGTTGTTACAGTACATTAGAGATTGTTATAACAATTAAGGGTATAACCAAATCTAGCCTAACGGAACCACTGGTTTTCTAATTGTGGAATTTTCACAATCGTGACACCGAAAACATCGATTCTGTGTCGACACGAATCGATTCGATCAGTTGCAATGGTATTTAATATTAAAAACGTATCACAAGATGAAGAGAAATGATTTCTTTATCTTTGAAATTTATTAAGAACATAACTAACACATGTATTTTTAGTTTATTATGTTTATGGTACATCATAAACAATTTAAGATATAAAAGCACTAAAACAAAAAACTATATATTTTTTTTTTCGTGCTCACCATGTTAAATATCAAATCGATTCAATATTTTAGCGAATAATTATCTCTCGGATAGTTCAAATAAATTATTTCTGAATCGAACGCAAGAGATAGATATGTCGAGCGCGATCGGTATTTCGAGTGTACACGTTTTTTGGCGGGAATGTTCAACAAAGCGCACCGTCTCGAATGCTCGGGCACGCGCACCCGCGTTTTTTGTTTTATCACTCGTCTCCGGAAAAACGTGCTACGTAAATAGTTGAATTTTTTAGTTGTTTTAGATATATCAGCGAATATCTTTAATGAACGTTGAATGTGTTCATTTGTTCATTTAAAATTGGCTTACAATCTAATTGATTCGGTATTATAATAATTAACATTTCTAAAAGTTCTTTTGAATATGTTCTTAAAAAGTAAAATTTTAAGTAAAACCTCTTTCGAATACTATTTCTGTTTTGTTATTTTTCTGTATAAGATTTGGCCGTTCGGAAATAGTGTATTGGGTAGCGATCATTACAGCGAACATGCGTCCACAAATTATACTTCGCCTTACATCAACAATTCAATTAAAGTGTTACGTAGCTACGGAATAATTCCGTTTGAATTAGAGTAATTGCTCTCGTGATTGGACCGTAGTGATGTTTCACTGTGAACCGGACTGGCAACTGCCAGACTTTGTTTGATAATCATCACTTAGCATAAAATTATTTGAATACTTATACGATGATATATATCTTTTACTATTTACACTCTTCGTCTCATCGACACTCGAGAGATTATGAAAATAGCACGTAGACTGAATAAAGATACTAATAATGTTACAATGAACAAAATGAAATTTGGATTATAAATAAACTCGAGGCATGGCTAATGACCGAAGAAATCAAACTGGACACACTGGCAACGATTCTGTTTAATTGGACGCTA